CCGCTGACAACCCCCCACCCCAACTCCCACCCCCCCTCGCCCCACACCCCCTGTAACGCTCACTGACATGTGTTGAATGTAAATGAATACAACCATTCATTCTCAGGTCAGGTGACAGGTCGACCTTTCCACTCGGTCGATTAGTGACTCTGGATTTTAAATCCAATTTGTTTTGTTTTGTTTTTTAACTGGTTTTATAAATTTGAAATAATCTGTCAGGAAGGAAACAGATCAACAGAGATTGTTGTTTTACTTCCAGGTTTTCACATCATTGCATCACTCTTTTACACTTTTATCACCGGATGCCTTGTTCTTTCCTGCGTATCAAGATAAAGTTAAAAATTCTTCGATTGTGAATTTTAACACATGTATCTTTACTCTAACTGCTACATGAAGGTAGTGGTTTCTGAATCCCTGCCCCCTAACCACAGCCCGTGACACCAAAGAGGGCCCCACCCCCCATTTTGAACAAAGAACAAAAATTGAACAAAGACAAAAAAGCTTTTTCGTAAAATATATTTTATTTTTACTTTTTAAATTCTACTAAAATATTCACTTCCAAAACATAATGACGCCGTTAACAACATGTAACTATTGGACGACCCTGACAGGGATTGGCGTAAGGCGTTTTCTTCCATTTTTCTTAACAATTCACTCATTTTTGTCCTTATCCTAACAGAAGTAACCTAACAGGACCAAACTTTACATTTCCTGGAGCAGTCGTTCTTTATTCTCCTATCAAATTCAGATCTTTTCGCCAGGTTCCTATTTCCTTGGCCGTCTACGTTGGCAGGGTCATTTCTTCTTTCATTTCTTGTGCACTGAGGTTCCACAACAACACATTGCATGTTTGTTTTTTTTTCATTATACACTAAAAAAAAATCTGAGGATTTTCCCTTTCTATTGCTATAACATCTGAGGGCTTTTGGTTGCAGAAGCAGGAATTCAGGAATTATTTAAGACTTTTTTTTTGCATATAATCCATTAGGACAAACGTGACGTGATGGATTTAGAGGTGAGGGTGTAACACAAAGGAAGACGAGCTTTTTGTCCGTGCAGACTTCTGATTGGATGAGCCGGTTGACGCTCCGACGTGACAGGCTC